ACACCAAATTTTCAATGCATTGAATTCTCCGATCTCAGCCACCCTGACTGAGCCCGTTTGTCCTACAAGGGTTTCCTTAGCGCTTTTCAGATGACATAGTACTCCGAATTTTGTGCTTCTCCGACTTTTTGGCTGTGCGGCGGCATTCCTTCTCACTTCTTTTATTTTCTAAATTCGCCAAATATTTCTATAACTACATAACTATGGGCGGGATGACCAGAAATAACCGTTTCTGAACATTCCTGGTTATTTTAAATTCAAAATTTTAAATCTCCCACGAACGAACTACTATGTCTGTAGAGCCGAAATATTCTCGAAAAGCATCGTCGGTATTTGATATATGATATCGCGTGGTTGATAAACCATTATACGCTTTCACTTAAAAGGTCTTATGAATAACAGAAACAGTAGACATGTTATTAGCACAAACCAGTATATTAAAACGGTAGCCATATTACAAACACAAGCCAGAACGTAGAAACTAGACTTATTATGGACAGAAGCCAATACATAAAAATGGTAGACCTGCTATTGACACAAACCAGTACATAGTTTCGGTGGACGTATGAAGAACCCAAACCAGTACTCAACAGAAGGAGAACAAGTAATATTATGTGGTATGAGTTGTATATGATAATATTGACTTGGCTGGTTCTCTTCAATGGATATATAAATATTAAGCAATATAATTAAGGTTAACCCTTTCTTTCCAATGATCGTTAGTCAGGTTATGCTCTGCTAGAATCTTTAAGGTTAACCCTTCCTTTCCAATGATCGTTAGTCAGGTTATGCTCTGCTAGAATCTTTAAGGTTAACCCTTCTTTCCGATGATCGTTAGTCAGGTTATGCTCTGCTAGAATCTTATTTCAGAAACCATTATGAATATTTCCTGAAATGTAAAAAAAAACGTCGAAATCCAGTTTCTATGGCAAGTTTTGTTCAATAAATTGTATCTTCTGTCGTTAGTGTTCATTTGTTTGTCGTTATTTTCATGTATTGTTCAAGTACTTGTATCTTCTGTCGTTAGTGTTCATTTGTTTGTCGTTATTTTCATGTATTGTTCAATAAATTGTATCTTCTGTCGTTAATGTTCATTTGTTTGTCGTTATTTTCATGTATTTGTTCAATAACTTGTATCTTCTGTCGTTAGTGTTCATTTCTTTGTCGTTATTTTCATGTATTTGTTTAAGTACTTGTATCTTCTGTCGTTAGTGTTCATTTGTTTGTCGTTATTTTCATGTATTTATTCACATACTTGTATCTTCTGTCGTTAATGTTCATTTGTTTGTTCAAGTACTTTTATCTTCTGTCGTTAATGCTCATGTTCTTGTACCTTCTGCTCTTAATGCTTTTTGCTGGTTTGTTCATGTACTTGTATCTTCTGTCGTTAATATTCATGTGTTTCTTTAAATACTTGTATCTTCAGTTCCTAATATTTATACCGTCTGTTGTTAATGTTCATGTGCTTGTTCCAATACTTCTATCTTCAGTTGTTAATGTTCGTGTGTTTGTTCAGATACTTGTGAATTCTGATGCTAATGTTTTTCCTGGTTTGTTCAAGTTTGTTTAATTGTTTGCTTATTTCTTGTTAAGCCAAAAGCTGCATAACTGGCTATCTGTGCTGTGCCCACCACGAGTATCGAAACCCGGTTTTTAGCCGTGTGAGCCCTCAGACTTTCCGCTGAGTCACTGGTGGAGGGGTGAGGGAAGAGGCGTTTGTTGAAGTATTTATATCTTCTGTCGTTAACGGGTTTGTTCAAATACTCTTATCTTCAGTTGTTAATATGTTTGTTCAATGGCTTGTATCGTCAGTTGTTAATGTTCACGTGCTTGTTCAAGTACTTGAATCTCCAGTTTAATGCTTTTACTGTTTTTTTTTTCAAGCACTCGTACCTTCTGTTGTTAATGTGCTTTTTCTCTGGTTTTTACAGATGAAAGTCATGACCACCTCAGTATATTCAGTAATCGACAACAACCAAAAAAGAAAAGGAAATCTCGGACAGCTTTCACCAACCAGCAGATCTTTGAGCTTGAGAAACGATTTTTATACCAGAAATATTTATCTCCTGCCGACAGAGACGAGATCGCTCAGCGTCTACGCCTAACAAATGCCCAAGTGATCACGTGGTTTCAGAACAGACGCGCCAAGTTGAAGCGAGATATGGAAGAACTAAAGAAGGATGTCGAAACTGTGAAGATGCAAACTATTATCTTAAATAATATTCAGGATTTTAGTCTTCTGAAAAAATCTGGCATGCACAAAAATCAAGACTGAAAGTTCATTTATACAGCATATAAATCAATAATAATGTGGGTGATACTCCTGTAAATATATAAATAAATATACAAATTTATTTACACGCAAGTAATGTAGCAATCTTGCTACGTTATTTTGATGTGTTTTTTTATTATTTAATTAGTAATTTAGAACAAAATGTTACACGATGTATGGGCATCATTCTTATCTAGTTCCTGTAAAGATATTGTAAACTATTTTTTTCTTCTTCTGAAGTTTGTACAGAAAGGTTATCAAGAATCGCACCTGATTCGTTTCGTGTGGAATTCGGAATAAAGATGTGTTATATATCAGTGTTTATGTTCTGGTACACATAAACTGATATGTTATATACCAGTATTTATGTTCTAGTACACATAAGCTGGTGTGTTATATACTAGAGTTTATGTTCTGGTACACATAAACTGATGTGTTATATACCAGTGTTTATGTTCTAGTACACATAAGCTGGTGTGTTATACACCAGTGTTTATGTTTTAGTACACATAAGCTGGTGTGTTATACACTAGTATTTATGCTCTATTATATATACATAAGTTGATGTGTTATATACCAGTATTTATGTTCTAGTACGCATAAACTGATGTGTTATATACCAATGTTTATGTTCTAGTACACATAAACCGATGTGTTATATATCAGTGTTTATGTTCCAGTACACATAAGCCGGTGTGTTATATATCAGTGTTTATGTTCCAGTACACATAAGCTGGTGTGTTATATACTAGTGTTTATGTTCTAGTACATATAAGCTAGTGTGTTATACACCAGTGCTTATGTTCAAGTAAAGGTTTATCATGAATCGCGCCTGCTTTGTTTCTTTTAGAATGTGGAATAAAGATGTATTATGTACCAGTGTTTCTGTTCCAGTACATATGAACTGGTGTGTTATATACCAGTGTTTATGTTCCAGTACATATGAACTAGTGTGTTATATACCAGTGTTTATGTTCCAGTACATATGAACTGGTGTGTTATATACCAGTTTTTATGTTCCAGTACATATGAACCGGTGTGTTATATACCAGTGTTTATGTTCCAGTACATATGAACTGGTGTGTTATATACCAGTGTTTATGTTCCAGTACATATGAACTGGTGTGTTATATACCAGTTTTTATGTTCCAGTACACATTAGCTTGAAGTATTTAGTACAAATAATTGTATTGAAGTTTTATATCCCGTCCTAATTATTACTGACAAGCTTTCTTTCAATTTAATATGCTAGTATTTTAGATTTTTGTATTTACATATATAAAAACAAAGTATTGTCTACTGGTGAGTAAGACGAAGCTGATTCCCTTATATAAATCATAGAGTATGAAAAGTATGATCAAATATATTATTTTAAAGTTTCTTTATGCTATGATAAAGAAGATGCTAACTTCTTTCGTATGACATTTTCCATAAGTTTATTAACTACGGACTGAAACGTTTCTATCGTCACCTGCCTTTGAGAATCCAGTGACGACACCTAACGAATTGAATTCAGTCTAGTGGCAAAAGTTAGGGAATTTGTAGTCACCCTAGCGACGATTTTTAGAGGAATTGAAGTAATACCAGTGACGATCTTTGAGAATTCGAAGTCACACTAGTGGCAACGTCTAGGGGATCCGAAATCACACCCGTGGCGACACTAATAACGATATTTCAAGAAAATGAAGTCACGCCAGTGCCAATACTTAACGAACCTGAAGTCACGCTAGTGACGACACTTAGAGAAATATAAGTAAGGATAGTGACGACCTTTTAGAGTACGAAGTCACGCAAGTGATGATGTTTGCAAAATCCATAGTCACATTAGTGACGACACCCAGAGAAACTTAAGCCACACTAATGACGAAATTCAGAGAAACTTAAGTCGTGTGAAGACACTCAAAGAAACTTAAGTCACACTAGGGACGATATTTAGAGAAGTTAAAGTCACGCTCGAGACGATGCTTACGGAATCCTAATACATGTTGTTGACTACACTTAGACAATATTAAGTTACACCAGCGACGGCATTTTGATCTTGTTGCTAAAAGTTTGTTTCAGTAGGAACCATAAAATGACCATTTCACATATGTAATTACTAACTTTTGTTTAAAAAAGGTTATATTTATATTATTTTCATTTCCAGTTTTTCTGAGCATCCCATAATTACCACCCACCTGTCTTGGTGATTACACTTTTACAATAAATGTTTAGGAGTATAAATAGTTTTCTTTTTTCTAAATGAAGATCTGTGATTTGACGTATACTGTACACGTGAGTTGTTATCGAAACTATGTGAGTTTAGTAACTGAAAGCCACAAAAAAACCATTGAAACAATTTCATATCTATTCGCAGTGTATTAAATTTTTATTAAAATATGTAATGAGTTAAATTAAACGTTTTAAGTTAAAATAATAAAAAGTCAGACCTAGAAAGGTTTAAATAGTTTTGTTGGAGTTTTATTTTGTGTGACAGTTAGTTCGTCCGTTTATTATTCTTAAAAGTAAATGTATATGTTAGTGTTCTACTGTTTGTTGTCATGTGTAAATATGATATCTTTAGTCTATAATTGTTAACCCAAAGAAATAAAAACAGTCTTATTACACAATTTGTGGTTTTTGGCTAGACCACTTTGAACCAAAAAGTTTCATCATTTAAAGGTAAACAAAACAACTAATATTTTATTTTTCGAAACTCTATACAAAAATCTCATATAAAACCATGTTCAAGATGACTTTTTTTTTTCAGATATTAGCTTATTTATTTTTCTTCATCCTAAAATGAGCAACAGGTAAAACAGTTTATACTTTCGTTTCACATAACAAGCAGAATTAAACTCTGGTAAATGTAGCTTGGTTTTTACTTTCGTTTTAGGTAACAAACAGTATTAAACTCTTCTAAGTGTCGCTTGTTTTTACTTTCTTTTCATGTATCAAACGACACATTGAACTCTGGTAAGTGTCACATCGTTTTTATATTTGTTTGATATGACAAACCTTATACTAAACTTCGCTAAATGTCGCTTGGTTTTTTCTGTCAATTTAGATAACAAACACTATTAAACTCTGCTAAGTGTTGCTTGGTTTTTACTTTCATCTCATGTAAGAAACAATACATTAAAACTTAGCTACGTGTCGCTTCGATTTTTGCTTTCGTTTCAGGAAACAAACAGTATTAAACTCTCTTATGTGTCGCATGGTTTTTACTTTCGTTTCATCTAACAAACAATACATTAAACTCTGCTAAGTGTCAATTGGTTTTTAATTAAGTTTCATGTTACAAACATACATTAAACTCTATTAAGTGTCGCTTTGTTAAGTGTCGCTTGGTTTTTACTGTCGTTTCAGAAAACAAACAGTATTAAACTCTACTAAGTGTTGCTTGGTTTTTACTTTCATTTCCTGTAACAAACAATACCTTAAACTCTGTTAAGTGTTGCTTGGTTTTTACTTTCATTTCCTGTAACAAACAATACATTAAACTCTGCTAAGTGTGGCTTGGTTTGTAATTTTGTTTTATGTTAAAAACATACAGGTGCCCGGCATGACCAGGTGGTTAAGGCACTCGACTCGCAATCTGAGGGTCGCGGGTTCGAATCCCTGTCACACCAAACATGCTCGCCCTTTCAGCCGTGGGGGCGTTATAATGTGACGGTCAATCCCACTATTCGTTTGTAAAAAGAGTAGCCCAAGAGTTGGCGGTGGGTGGTGATGACTAGCTGCCTTCCCTCTAGTTTTACACTGCTAAATTAGGAACGGCTAGCGCAGATAGCCCTCATGTAGCTTTGCGCGAAATTCAAAACAAACAAAAACGTACATTAAACTTTATTAAGTGTCGCTTGGTTTTTCGTTTGTTTCATCTAACAAACAATACATTAAACCCAGCCAAGTGTCGCTTGGTTTTTGATTTCGTTTCAGTAAACAAAAAGTATTAAACTCTCTTAGATGTCGCTTCTTTTTTACTTTCGTTTCTTGTAACAAACAGTATTAAACTATGCTAATTGTCATTTGGTTTTTATTTTCATTTCAGATAACAAGCAGTATTGAACTCTGCTAATATTCGATTGGTTTTCACTTTCATTTCATGTAAAAAACATTACACAAATCTCTTCCATGTAATAACAAATACATTAAACCCCGCTTAGTGTCGCTTAATTTTTACTTTTGTTTCATTTAACAAACATTACACTAAACTTCGCTAAGTGTCGCTTGGTTTTTGCGTTCGTTTCAGGAAACAAACAGTATTAAACTCTATCATATTTTGCTTGGTTATTCTTTCGTTTCATCTAACAAACAATACATTAAACTCTGCTAAGTGTCGCTTGGTTTTTAATTTTGTTTCATGTTAAAAACATACATTAAACTATATTAAGTGTCGCTTGGTTTTTACTTTAATTCCTGTAACAAGCAATACATTACACTCAGCTAAGTGTCTCTTGGTTTTTGCATTCGTTTCAGTAAACAAACAGTATTAAACTCTGTTAGATGACGCTTCTTTTTTACTTACGTTTCTAGTAACAAACAGTATTAAACTATGCTAATTGTCACTTGATTTTTATTTTCCTTTCAGATAACTAACGGTATTAAACTCTGCTAATAGTCGCTTGATTTTCACTTTCGTTTCATGTAAAAAACATTACACAAATATCTGCTAATTGTTGCTTGGTTTTTACTTTCATTTGCGGTATCAAACAGTATTAAACTCTATTAAGTGCCACTTGGTTTTTACTGTTGTTTCGGATAACAAACAGTACATTAAACTCTGCTAAACGTGATTTGGTTTTTACTTTCGTTTCATGTAACAAACAATACATTAAACTCTGATAAGTGTCGCTTGGGATTTTACTTTTATTTCATCGAACAAACAATACATTAAACTCTGCTAAATGTTGCTTGGTTTTTACTTTCGTTTCATATAATAAACAGTATTAAACTTACCTAATCTTTGCTTGGTTTTTACTTTCGTTTTGTGCAACAAACAGTATTAAACTATGTTAAGTATC